TCTCCTATTACATTTATACTACTACTTCCTCCTTTATTTCCCAAACTATCCCTGATAAGTAACTAGAATTGGAACACTCTAGATTATGGCATACCAAACTTGAATGAATAACTTGATGGTCTATTATCACTCGCCCCCCGAAATCCACCTTGCCATCAATTTGCAAGCGACTTCAAAATTCGAAACCAATTTTGGAGTGAGCTTGTTGTAGCTGTTAATCCATGTAGTCAATCCACCCCATACAATTAAAATGTTGTCCATAAAAATTTCATAACTTGTTGGACCCATGGAAGGAACTCCCAAAGGTTTAGTCAAGTTTGAGCTGTACGCAATAATCTCATTCTTAGCTGGGTTGTAATTCACATGGGCCTGATTTGTGAATTCATTTCTCTCTTTCCCCTATTGGCCCAACTCTAAACTACAGCCCAATCTCTTAAGTTTTAACATCCTACCCTCAGCCTCTATCGTGGAATTCAATCCATTAACAAAATTACCCTCCTTCCATTGATACCATGCCACAACTTCTCCATTCAAATAGATTGCAGCTGCTCCATCTCCTTCCAATTCGAGAACTGATTAATTTTGGGATCTTCTCCGTTGAAACTCGACACTTTCAGCTCATGGATTTGATTAGCAAATTTCCGCAACTCTTCATGGTGGTTTCTGTTCTCGGAATTAACTCCAACGTCATCATATTTTGTTGGAATTTCAAAAGTAAGGGTGAGTTCAGGTGTAGCTAAGGACAACTCATTGAGCCATTTGAAGACCGAGGGATTCTGTTGTAGTACTTGCGCAATGAAAGTATATAATCAAACTATAATATTCTCGAAACATAGTATATTCGAACCAGTGAATTTTTTTTAACTTAACTGCTACTAGGTCTAATTTTGATATTACCGATAGACCTACAACATTTACACAAGCTTTGAAAAGTATATATTCTTCTGACCACGCTGTATGACAATTATGATGCTCTTTTTGGCAACTCTACCTGGATTGCCAAGCGGGCAGAGTGCTC